CCAGGGGCCACTCTTGTGGCAGATTAGCGTAAAGGCTCACTGGGGGCACCACTGGTGGCAACATCGTGGTTGCGTGATCTCCCTCAGGCAGGATGGCAGTTTGACTGTTTCCAAGCTGTGACATTGTGAGAAAGTGTGCATATGAAGGGTATGAATTTCCGTGCATGAGATGTCCACCTGAGCAATTTGCAGCTCTCAAACGCCCGGTGACCAATAAAGCATGCATCACTGCCTAACTCCACTTGCCGTATGCCACTGGCATAGAAGCTTCCCTGCGGGACTGTGGGGTGGCCAGTGTCGCATGGGGCAGTGATAGTTGTGACAGCTTGGCACACTCCTCAAAGGCGTATTGCCCGATGACAGCTCCTATGGCGAGGTAACAGGCTCCATCCATGATGGTTCCGACGCGCTCCAGAGCACAACACTCTGAGAATGAGCGGACTCCCAGTTCGACACACCCTGGCATTTCAACCCTCTGCAGGGAGTAGCAGCCTTGGAAGGCTGCATACGGTACCGAGGCGGCGCCGGCGGTACCGGAGTGAGGAACCACACAAAGACCAACAGAAAGCCAAAACGGAACCTTAACATCATTGTAGTCCCGGCGTTTCTTCAAACCCGGCGCTCCACACTTGCGCCAAGGCACTCCAAGTACTCTTCGCGCTCAACCATTCTCAACAAAGGCTTGGGCTTGGGTTTGGCCATTGATGTGTCCAAAGTTCAATTGCATTTTCGGGTGAATTTGTGACCTTCATTTTGGGGTCCAAAAACACTAGCAAAACCGGTCTCGCCACGGAGGCCTCCCCAGTAGTACTGTGCCAGTCAAGTAAAGGCCTAACCTGCCACCGCTGGCCAATCAGTATGGATCAGCTGCTTGCCAATTCCGTCTCCACATCCTGCTGTGGGCTACAGATGAAAGCTTGGCTGGGAGCATAGACTTTGTCGCCACCAACATGCGTGGCAACCTTGTGTTTCTCAGATAGACATCAGTACTGCTAAGCAAGGTAACAAAACGTTAACTCCATTTTTTGAAAACAAAAGCCAGGCAATCATTGTGTCGTATCTCACTGAGGCTTTTTGACTGGAAGCGCGCAAAAGATCTACCAAGCAAATATTCGAATCAGTGGCAATCTTTAATGGCGCCTCTTAGCCATCTGCCCGATGCGACTGGTGTCAAATACAGATTGCAACTGAACACATATAGATACATTGTAGAGAAATACTATGGTATGATTGTCGATGCCATGTACGTGGTATGCCTTCACCCAGAGCAGCCTGAGGAACCTTGGATTGACGAGGTTCCTTTCATGTATGAGGAGATCAACCTCCTCATGCAACATCGAAGAGAGGTGTGCGCACGAGGTGCAGCAGAGCAAGATGTACAGGGTGGAGCATCCGTTCACATACGTTCTGCACTCACTGGAGAAATCCTTACCTTGCTGCCTGTGCATGACCCTTTGGCTTCAGCATGCGACACAGTACGCAGAGGCTTACAGAAACCATACTTCACGACGCAAGTCTGTCTTAACGGCCGGATCCTATCGACAGAAGAGTCCTGGGAAATGATTGGGCTGCCAGAGATTCTGGATGTGATCTTTGTACCTATGCATAACCGATCGCCTCGAGAATTTTTCGCTGCCATACGTGAAGGCGATGACTTAACTGTGCGGAAACTTTTAGAAGAAGGTCAAACGGCCAACCTATGGAGCGGAGACTGCTCATCCCTAGCATATTGCTGCATGTATGGTGAGTCGGAAGATGTCGCATGCACCCAGGCGCGCCATTGCAAACGTTCACAAACGGCATCCCAGTGTTGCATTCATGCATCATCGCTGGATGGACATCTCTAGCGAAAACTATGATTGAGAATGGTGCAGCCCTGTCGGTGAGGGATTCTCAAAGAGGTCATTCTTGCCTGCATCAGGCTGCTTGGTTTGGCAGGCTTGAGTGCGTGCAGTATTTGCTTATCTCAGGCGCCAACCCTCTTGCGGAAGCTTGGCGAGGCGATACACCTTTGTCTTTAGCTCGCAACTTTGCAGAAGTTTCAGCAGTGCTCATGGACCACTGCTGGGCAAACATCAAGATGCAACATTTGCTGGTAAGAATGTTTGATGATATAGACGAATATCTTCCTCTCCGAAAAGAAAGGCAACTCTGGTGTGTGTGTGCAGAGTTCTCAACAAGCAAGCCTTCTTCTATACTGAGAACCCTTCGTACAGAGATGTGGGATTGCTTGGGAGGAAGTCTTGCTGCAGTGACGCCTTCGCCCGCCCAAATTCTTGAAAAAATTGCTTGGTTGGAAGATTTGGCTATGGAACATATTGCCTTGCTCGCGTACATGCCTGAACATGATCAGCAGTGGCGAATGGAAGCTGGTAACGCAGAAGCGCGCGTCAGACATTTAGCTCGAGTGAGCAGCACACCACGTGAATCACTGCTGGAAGGTGAGCACCGCAGGCGGGTTTTGAAGAGACTCAGGATATATTTTTCCTTGATTAGAGAGTTTCCTATGACCATACGTCGGAACGCCAATACTTTCAGAGCTGTTTTCAACCCATGTGATGGAAGTATTACAAAGAGAGAATGGGAAGGACGCTGCGCAGCTCTCAGAAGAGGGTATTGGGTGGGTTGTCAGCCTGCGCCGCCTGTGGAAGGGGAAAGAAACAGAGACGCAGCTCTAGCCCGGCGATTTCTGCAACAACAATTTTGGGTTGGCATCCCTGCACTTCATCAGGAACCTGTTGAAACACAAAGACGATTGATGCAATTTTCTGCTCGGGTAGCTTCCATGTGGCACACATTATTCCGTTTCCCTCAGCTTTTCTGGACTTTACCAATGCCATTTGATACCCTGCAGTCTGATCTAGAGTGGGATGCCCGGATGTCTGCAGCACATCTTTTTGTACATTGCCTTGATCGTTGCGAGTTTGTAAAGCTGCAGGCTCTTTTGAGTGCTTGGTACCACCCTGAGATAGAGAGACATACTCACCTTGTGGAGTTCATTGAACTTTCAGACATATTCACCGCCAATGATGTCCGATCACAGCACGCAGTGCGATTGATCTGCTTGTTGCATCTTTTATCCGTTCCTCTGATGGGATCATTCCAAGCTACTCTTGAGAAACGACAATGGTTTCTTCGGACAGCGATGGCTCACACAAGCAGTAGTGCAGCTCTCAGAAACTCACTTAGCGGGATTCTTCGGAGTGCTGGAGAGCCTGAACAAACAACGGAAACAGATAGGCTACATGATGTACTAGGAGGAAGTGCTGCTGCACAGCAGGAGGATGCAGAAGATTACATGCCACAAGTTGGTGAGGCGCCAGATGAAACGATCGAACCTCTGGCATCGCAGTTGTCGGCAAAGAAAACAGCTGCAAAGTCTCAACCTTCTCCTGCAAGTGCGTCCAGGTCTCGAGCAAATCTTTCCAGAACAGAGGCTGCAGCAGAGAACAGGCAAGAGACGGCGCCGCAGGAGGGATGTAATATCAAGGAGGAAGAAGCAGAAGAACAGCTGCTGAACTTAGAAGATGCATATGTTTCTGCAAACGACTTCTCTGCTCTACGACGAAGGAGGTTTATGCCAGGTGCACATACTTCAGACGAAGATTTCGCTCTTTTCTTTTCAGAACTGAAGAGTATCAATGCAAGCTTTCAAGGCGACCCGGCAGAGTTACAGGACAAGTCCAACACAATTCTTCATTCTGTGCGGAATGGACGGAACAAGTGAAGGAGTTAGCTCCTGCCTTGTCAGAGTATTTCGTGCGCGTGAGTGTAGCAGTGTTAGCATTCGCTAGGGTGCGGCAGGCAGATATATTTTTGAGAGAGCATGCGCTTGTGTATTGGATTGCAGAAGGAGGAAGCACATTACGCTTTCACGAAGGTGACTGCTATATGCGCACTCCAAGCGGTGCATTTCAACAGCACCGTGGAATACCTCCAGATCATGACAGAGTACAAGTATTTCTGATGCATGTTGAGGGTGTATTCAGGCTGCTCCCACGACAAACCACCAGAGATCCTCAAAACCTTATTTCAGAAATTAGTGCTCTGTGGAGCAAGGCTGAGTGCGATGAAAGCAAGCTACGCGTGACTTGTCAAAACGCTTGTTTGGAAAACTTGGGCGAGAGTGGCGAAATGAGACGAAGAGCTGGTGAAGCACATGTGCCTGAGGAAGCGGAAGAAGAAGGGCAGGAAGCCAATGACCGCACTCTTCCCTGGATGATTCTTGCAGCTAAAACTGTGCTGGCGATAAAGAGGCAACTGTCGCGGGAGATCACTGAAGACAAGCTGCTGAACTACATGAGTGAGTGGTGCGAGGAGCCCAAGAAGCCAGAACCGTCATGCTGTTATGATGATTGCGCCATCAAATATGATGAGGATGACCTTCTAGCAGCGTATCAAGTGCAGCGAGCCAGCCTGACGAATTGCTATCTGCGGGTGCCACACTCGATCAAAGGTCCTATTCCTGCAGACGTAATGGCTCGACTAATGAAATTCTACCAGCAGACCTTTTGGGGAAATGTTAGCGTATTTTAATGTTGTTAAGCAGGTCGAGCATTAGCGAAGAGAGGTCTGAATGTTGTGCGATTGTTTATTGGTCTTCTGGTGGGGGTAGCGGAGGAGCATTACACTCCTCCACATTTTGTTGTTGTGTAAGAGA